GGTGCATGGCAACCAACGGGTCAGCACTGTTCCTTTAAAAGAATCCTTCCTAAACACACTGGCCCTTTTTTCTGGGTGAGCTTATTGTCATGTTGACTTCTTGTTCTTTGAGCTCAGCTGGCATACTTGGCTGTTTCTTATCTCCATATCATTCTCCAATACCAACTGCAATAAATGTCCAAACAGCCCTGAAGCACTTCCTTTTAGCTTGAATGTCTTGTATCTATCTACATCAACTTTCTGAGAGGTGAAAGGCACGTGTTTGTGTTTTTGGTACAACTTTAAGGCTGAAAATAGCAGCTCATGGGAAGTTAAAAAGCCTACTGATTCTTCCTCTATAAAGTTGTGTGACTTTTAGGCAAAATACTCAATCTCTTCAGCCTTAGTTTTCCCATCTGTACATAAAGACTAGTAATAGATGTAGTATCTAAATTAAAAATAAATAATATTGAACATGATGTGATGATGAGGTTACCCATTGGTAGAATGCCACTCCAGATAGTCAGTTGAAGTAAAACATATTTGGTTTCATATAATCAAAACACATCCCCAGTGAATTAAAGAAATGGAGTTGTTATAATGTTAGATACATGATTAACTATAATAGGACAAACCTGATACTTTGTCCCTCTAGAACTGTTTCATTATTGTCCCCTCCCCACCAAGCAACCTTTTTAAACATTTATTCCTACTTCCCTTCCCATTAAACTGTAGGTAATGTAAGTACACATTATACCTATTTAAGCACCGTGTCTCTTTGGAGAGCCTCCAACTATTGTAATACCACCCAAACAAACAGGTGACATAGGGTGAATGATGGGTAAGTGGAGTCATCCTCAGACATATCTACCCCTATTTTCATATAGTTTTACATAAATATCTATACTCACCACTTCACTGGAACACTTTAGATGGATGAATGAGCAAATGCATGCTAGCTCACAAAGATTTTAGTGGTTTTTCTCTGATGTCTGCCATGAGTACAAAATGGAATGTAATCTTTAATTTCTTAAGCTCAGATGACCATTTTGCTCAGAGATACATGTGAACTACATTTTATTTTCAAAATAGAGTTTATTTTAATTGGTATGTTCAAAGAATATAACTGAGCAGTATGTCCCTTCCTAAGGACTACTCAGGATAATTTCATTAGCTCTGCCTCTGAAGAAGCTGGAGGATTTTTTGAACTTAATGTCTTTACCATTTATTAAATTCTTGCTGTGGGTAAAACACTGAAAACACTGGCTTAGGTGCTAAAAGAGATAGAGGGATGGTGAAGCACCATTCCTGTCCTCCAGACCCATACAGTCTGGAAAAATCACTGTGGGGTCACAGGCTTGGCACTGATATCTAGCAAGTTTGAGAAAAGTCTATTCCAGGTGATATTTCCTATCCTCTGAAGATGCAGAGATAGTAAAATGCTTTCAACCATATTCATAGTAGAATGCAGTTCAGAATTAATGTTTTAATTCCTTTGTCTTTTCTTACAACTGTCATTTTCTTCAAGAACTGTAAGACCTGGCATTCTGAAATTCCAAATGATTTGTCCAATTGCACACCTTTCCACCAGTTTCAGAAGGCCTGCATTAGGAAAGCAAATTGTAACACAGGGTTAACAGAACATGGGGTTCTTGAGCCTCTCAGGGTAATGATGTAGTCTACAACTCTACTTACTACAAATTGAGACAACCTAAGAAAACAAACCAAGGTGATCAGGCAAGCTCTGTGTCTAGCACAGTACATCCAAGAACATTTGCTCATGATTCAGAATTACGAGGGAAGAGCAAAGAGTGTTTCTGACTCAAAGACCAATTATGGAGGCTCTTAGTTGTGATCAGCAGTTTTTGTGGGAAAATACCACTTGGTAAGCACGTGAGAGGCCTTGTGAGCTGGTGGCAGAACAACCATGGGAGTTCCAAGCATGCCTCTGATTCACTCTGTGGTCTCTGAGTTTCTTCTTCTCCATCAACATGACAAAAGTTGTTTATGAGTAGCTCTGGATATGCAAACATACCTGTTGATGCTGTAAGGAGTATCCTGTTCAGTTACCCCTGCTAGAGACTCCCCTGTTATCACCAGAACCTAGCTACACACCATCCTGCTCAAGGCTCCATTCCTACAAGTGGTCTTAGAAAATTCCTTATGCTGATTTCAGGGGAAAAGATTCAGAGTTGGAGCTCATAACCACCCTACTACCTCCCTGGAAATGCCCTCCCCGAGTTCTATCACTGCAAGCATATACCCCCTTACTATCATCACTCTAAGATAAACTTATATATATTTTTTTTATTATTCAAGTCCAGAAGTGAGTGCACTAACAGCAAAAGTAAAAATAATGCAAAAAGGCTATGTCTGGGACAAGCCTAGAACTAGACAGGCAGAAAAGGATGGGAGAATTTCTGCAAGTAGTGACTCTAGTTGGATGTTATGTTGGGGGTTGAGCATTTAAATCTATGATACTACATGTTTTAGATAAACTGGCAAGACATATTTCAAACTGTTGACATCATTCTGGCTTGGTTATACACCACACCAGTAAAACCAGCTGGAAACCCAAAAATCAAATCAACTTGACTGTCAAGATGACACCGAATTATGGCTGGCCTGTCAATTTTCTTCTTCTTTTTCTCTTAAATAACAGAATCAAATAATTATTTAAGTAAGTGTATTACCTAATTATTCTGACATGTGATGAATGAACATAAACACACCATCCCTAATACTCTTACATTGTTTTGCTTGTTTCAAATATTCCCTGATAAACTATAAGGAATCAAATGACTAAAAGACATAGAAAAGCTAAACACTGCCTAGTATGTGTTCTTGATGACAAGGCTAATGTTTTGCTTAAGCAGCCAAGTATGTTGTTTACATCATTTCCAACTACCCAACATTCGTGAGGAAATCAAGTTCCTGCTTTAAACACGATTGACCCTTGGGCAACATTCAAATCCCAAAAGTCATAATTTGCTACCCAAACCTAGTAACAGGGACAAGCAAGCGATCAGGAACAAAGCTGGCACAGAGAGATGCTTCAGAGCAAGCTCAACTCAAAATAATGCTTTTACTCCAGGCTTTATTCCAGCAATCTTCCCTTGAGGGGGAGATTTCATCTTTGAGATTTGCAAACACTGGCACTTAATCCTCACAGCATTCTTGTGAGCTAGGCAGGTGGTACATGTTATGATCCGTTATGTTAAAGACAAAAGATGATAAAAATTAAAGCACATCAAATAGTATGAGCACCATCATGTCAAAAGATCCACAGCTTTCTCAGGAAAAAAGAAACCGAAAAGTGGAAACTGTCAAACTGTATTCTCATCTCTTTTACTAAGCTTTATACGGATGCTCAAGGTCTAGTTTTTGACTAGTTCATAAAGTGTTAAGGCAGAAGGAGTTGAATTGTTACATTGTTCAAACGGCAGAAAACTCGGGTAGTGAGGCTTTCTTTTTTAAGTGTTATATTTGTGAAAAACATTAGCAGAGTCAAGAAATGTTCTGGGTTCATCTGGTCTTGCGGCTGCTTACCTTATGAAGAGGTGACATTTAGCCTCAGAAACTGGATTGGCCTCCTGGGAGCGGTGAAGGGCCCCCAGAGGACCTTCGCAGGGGAGGGACCTCGGGTCTGTCTGAGAGCCCTGGGCACCTCAACCCAGCGGAGGGGCTGCCGTGTACGGAGAGCAGCTTGTATCAGCTCCCTGGGGAACTAAGAGAGTGGAAGCTGTTCCTGCCTCCGTGTCGTAAAAGCCAGCGTTAAACTGAGCATACCCCACCAACCCACGGACATACATGAAGCCCAGGTGTGGGCTGGGGACAGGGGGAATCGGAGAACGCGCCGTAGCGCACTTTCCGGGGCTGACAAGGAGTGCTGCTCTGCGACTTCAACAAGACAGTTGCCTCCTGGGCGGAGGACAAGAGGGGGGGCTCCGGCTGCCTGCACCTTCCCCGTCGCAGGTTGGGACCTGCGACCAGGCTGCGGAGCTCCCCGGGGGGCCCGGACACTACGCCGTGGTAGGGATTTTCAGTTAGGACACGCCTCGCACTGCGGAGCGAGCCGGCAGTGCAGCATCCCCACCCCGAGCAATTGTCCAGAACTCAAAATGCTTCTCTGTTCTCTAATCTCGTTTCTTTCTCTCATTCTCCCAAGCGCGCGCCGCCCCGATCTTTGCGAGCAGACTTTCCGATCTCACTCGAGACGCGCGGCCTCGTAGCGTCCCCACGCGCTTTATGAACACCTTTCGCAAGTGGTGACTCCACCCCGTCCAGCGAAGAGCGCGGGTCCAGAGCCGCCGCCGTGGAGGCCGGGAGGATGAACGACACTTTCCTTTGGCGGCCGAAGCGCGGGGCCAAGGGCTAAGAGCCCGTCGCCGGAGACAACTCTCGGGGGGCAGTTAAGAGGGGGTGCGCTGCTCCCGGGGCAGGCGACAGAGGGCACTTGAGGCCGGGGAGGAGGTTTAGGAAGCGGAGGAGGCTGCAAGCGGAGAAGAAGGCGGGAGGGGAAGAGGGAAGAGGGAGGAGGGCTCGCGGCAGAAGCGGGGGCGGCGCCCAGCGCGCTCTTTCAAGTCCCCGCTCCCCAGCCCCGGCGGCGGCCCGGGGGGTGGCGGCGCGGCGGCGCTCCCGGCCCCTCCCCCGGCCCCGCCTCCGTCCCGCGGTCCGGCCGCCCCGCCGGCGGCGCTCGGGAAATATGAAGAGGCGCGCGGGCGGCGGCGGCGGCGGTGGCAGCCCCTGCAGCTCCGAGGGGCGCACGCTGCGGCTGCCGGGGCGGGACGCGGCCGGGCCGGGCGCGGAGAGGCCCGGAGTGCGAGCAGGGCCGGGCCGGGCGCGCGGGGCCCCCCGGCGCCGAGGGAGGGCGCGTCCCGCAGCCCCCGCGCCGCGGCCCCCGGGCATGGGGCGCACGGCGGCCGCCTGAAGCGTGGCCTGGCCCGGCCGCACACGGGCCGCGGCGGAGGCGCGGAGCCGCCCAGCGTCCCTGCGCCCGGGCGCTCGCCTGCCTCGGCGCCGCCGCCGACCGGCGCGACCTCCCGGGTGGAGGCGGGAGCGCAGAGTGCGCGCGGCGTCGCGGCCGCTGCCGGGAACGGGGCCCTAGGACGGCGAGTGACTCCGGCGGTTCGGTGCGCGCAGGAGGTTCCGAAGGAAGACTGGAGATGTCCTGGCTGTGTCGCCTCCTGCTCCAGTACCTGTTCCCGGCCCTTGCGCTGCACGGTGAGTCCCGGGAGGGTGGGAGCCCGGGGAGCCGCGCCCGCACGCCGCGCGTCGCAGTGGGCTCCTGTCTCCGCGAGCCCGGGCGGAGCCCTGCGCCCCCTGCTCACTCCTGGGCGAGGGGAACAGCGTTTCCGAGGCGCGGAGCCCTCTCCCCAGCGCGCCCAAAGCTGCTGTGCCGCTCGAGTCTTCTTTCTGGAAGTTGCAAAGCTCACACACAGACATCTTTTATCTCCTGAATCGATTGCGTCCAGTCCCAGGGAAAACTTTAATCTACAATGTTGGATTTTCAAACTATAGACTGCCATGAAAGCGCAGGCATGGTGACCCTGTTGCCAGAGTGCCAGAGGGGCTTTTGATGTGGGCCAAGCTTTTATGTGACTGTAAAGAGAAACCATGATCATTTAAGGGGAGAAATGGCTCGCTGGTGCTTCTGTGTGCCCTTCTGAGGTCTAGCGTTTGTTGTAGGCGTGGTGATGTGGTTCTCTCCCAAGTACTGGGTGTAGTTTCAAGGTTGCGGGGACTCTGAACATCCAAGGTCTAGTAATTAAAACCGGTCTCCTAAGGCTCTTCGGAACTTGAAACCCCATTTCCTTCAGGCTCTTGCGTGATCGTTTTCTGTGCTTCATGTGCCACATTTTCTCAGGGGGTTCCCTTAGCCAGAGAACATCAGCGCTTTAAAAGAGGCCCAGGAATTGCCCTGAGAAAAGTAAAACAGAATTGCACAGGGGTCACCAGCTAAAATTTTGTGGTAGATTGGTGTTGATCATGGCTACAGAAGGCAGAACACATTGCACTGATTCAGTAAATCCTGAGTGAATTTTCCTTAATGATGGACACCTGACATTTCAGCAGCCCGTCTCCACCAGGAGCTTGGCTCTCCTTCTTCAACACCAGCGAGGCCACCCAAACCTCCGTAGATCACGCCAGGACCCTCTGAGTTTCTGAGCAGAGCCTGCAGCTGGTTGGAGCTTCAGAATGCATTGCAGCCGGGTCTGCAGACCGGGCTGGGACCCCCATGATGACCTAGGAAGGGCCCACTATACTCTCGGTCTTCGGCTCTTCCTAGTCCTGCTTGGGGCAGGCAGCTCCCACAGCACAGCTCCGCAGGCCCTGCTGAGGTGTCTTGTTGGGTCTGACCTGCCTGCCTGATTGCCAAGGTGTACTCTGACCAGGCCCCAGTGATCCCAACTTGAAAAGTCAGAATGGAAGGCCAAAGAGAGAAGGAAGGTATAATTATAGGGTTGCATTCCTACGCCCATCTGCTTAGAATTACAGAGCAGTTTTAATCTTTGGCTGAAACATGAAACAAATCAGAGCCAATGAACAGATCAAACAGCAGCTGCCACACACACCAGAAAAAAGAGGGCAACAGAGATGAAACAGAGAAAATTGTCCCCTTAGAAAATCTGTTGTGATATCTATGAACAAAAGAAGATAATATGGCCAAATGACTTTAAAATGAAAAATTACTTGGAAGTTTGACATAAACAGAACTTTTTGCATAAAGCCATTGCCTTTTGGACTACAAAAGTGATTCTTAAAGATGCAGCCTGGACCAGCTGAAGAAAATACTTCAAATTTTCTCCCTCTTTTGTGAGGTGGGGTTGTAATTATACTTCTGACCCCACCAGTCTAAGCTGGGATTGTAATAGCTGGTAACAAGAGCCCACATATATTCTTAGTGAGGCTCAATCATAGCCCTAAGCCTCCAAATTTGAGTCTGAGTTGGCCTGAACTCGTTGAGATCAGGGGTTTACCCAAATCCAGTTGTGCTGGGAGGGGAATAGTGTGGAGGGAGAGAGTAAGGAGCAGGCTGCACTGTGAACAGCAGGACAGTGGGGCCAGACCCTTTGCGTGTGTGCACATGTGCACATGTGTGTTATGAGTACATAAGATAAAGGACATTTGTGAAGTTAATTGAGTAATGTGGTTAACCCTACAAAAATACACAATTTCGAAGTAAATCTTCAGTTGCAAAGTTATTAACACTGAAGTTGCTCAAAGACTAACTTAGATCCTGGGACTCTCATAAAGAAAACGTACAGAGGGGATAGTTCAATGTATAAATCCTTGGGATTTAAGGAAGGCTTGTCATAATTCATTAAGATAATATAAAGCACTTGGAAAGAATTGGGTATTCTCCCATTCCCCTTTTTCCTCCTGATTTATACTTGCTTGAAAATGGGTGTTAATCAACCTCACCCAAGAGAATGGCTTGATGAGTATGTCCCACTCTACAATTTTTACAAGGATTTAAATATTCTGTAGCAACAGATCAAGCTTGATCATATATTTTAATACAAGTTGTAAATCTGAAGGAGATTACCTGAAATTTTAGAATGACTGAGGATTTTTTTCCTGATACATAGGCATTTTATTTTGCTGATGGTAAGATACCATTTGTCTGTTTATGGTAGCAATTGGTAGATAAAAACATTTTCTATGATTATGAGTGTACTTGTGCTAGAATTCAGTAAATTTAGTTTCAGATATTGTCTTGATTAATTGCGCCACTAGCAAGTCAAATTAATAAGATTAAATAGTGCATAAGGTCTTCATGAAGATTCTGTGTGGGATGTTATGGAAACCATGATGCTTGGCATCCAGTCTTTGTTCAGTTGGTTGGTTACTTTTATTTCAACTCATTACAAGTCATAAATCACCTCAGGTCCCATTGGCGAGTAAATTAGGCTCTGGCTAGACTTGGGCCTGTTGTTTATTTTTGCTTTTTTTTTTTTTTTAACTGTAAATGTAGTGCAAGACTCAAGTTCAAGATTTGATGGCCTAAAAGTATACATGTCAGTTTTACTTTCCTCTCCTTCAACTTCTGAAAACAACTGCATTTCTTAATCCAAATAAAACCTTTTGAATGTCATGAAGGTATGCAGCTGGAAGATATCCATTATCACTGTTTTCTTTGCTTAGATGAAAAACTGCAAAAGTCATTCAGCTCCAGAAACACAGATTAGCATGAGGCATTCTAGAATCAGTGGTGCTTTAATGCACAGCATAGTGCTGCTTCTCTTTGCCAGCAGGCGCGTTTGAGGGGAGACATTCTGTTCCCCATTGCTGTTTACTTTTGTAGAGGTAATTGATTTTTCTGAAAGGGGAAGGCACTTTTGAGCTATTCCCTTTCATTCAAGCACATTCTAGCAAAACTTAAAAAAAAAACTGTAGATTACCAAATGATAGCTTAACCAAGAAAATATGAGGAAGCATTTAAATAGGGTAAAATAGGCATCTTTGAAATGCTATTTTACTGAAGACATTTTTGTAATAAAGAAGGCATTGCCTTTCCTGCACCTTTTCCCTCTCAGTTATAAAATTGAAATGAAATATGGCTCAATGGCACATAATGGGAGCAGAGGTCTTAGAGTTAAATATTCTCCTGTGAGGTGAGTTGACTTGCTTCAGGCATGTGGCTAGGCAGACCTACAATAACCATGTTCATTCTTTTTCTCTCTAAATGAGAAAAAAACTAATATAGGTGGGTGATAGGACCGCATAAGGACACACTCTTTAGGGACAGACTGGTGACAGTTTGATATAATCAAATCAAGCTTACATTTAAGACAATTATAAAAACATACTGTAGTGATTGTATACACCTGCTAAAGGCTCACATCGCAGGACATGTCTTCAATAGACTACATATAGAGTAGAAGTGATTACAGAGAAAGCTTCAATGAAAAAACTTACCATCATCATCCAGGGACAACGTACTATATCAAGAGTTTATATATCCCAGTCATTGTTTAGTTCTCGCCAATCTGGGCCTAAAATTATTCTGATCAAATGGTAGATAGCTAGGTCAAATGATACGGTGTCACCCTAAAATTAGTAAGGGAGCTCTGTTCGGTAAGGGTTTTCCAGTTTTAGTCATTCAGCTAACCATTCATATAACAAGTATGTTTATAAGGACCTACCATATGCCGGTTGCCACTGCATGCTAGGGACAGGGGCAGTGTATTCCCCCTTTCCTGAAGAGTCCTGGAGAATATCTAGGGTTGGGTAAGAAAAGCTTATTGTAGAGCCCCGAAGCTGGGAGGATGGCAGGCTGTATGCAGTTGAGCAGGATTTTCTTTGCTGAGAATACCAACAAACCTCATCATACATACACATGCATGCACACCACGCACCATGTGCACAACATGCATTGTGTACTCACATCACATACTATGTACACACCACCCACCATGCACACACACGATGCACACACATCACCAACTGTGCTGAAGAGCACCGGTGTGGCAGTTGCAGTCAGCTACGTACCCAACATAAATTTTGCAGTCTGTGGTTCAACCCCAGTGTCTAGCCTGGGGACCATGGTATGAGAAGAAAGTGACACAGATAATTACCTCATTTTCAATCATACTTAAATAGAGCCAGGAATTTGAAACCTTAACTTTATTATATTCCTCACAGAGAAAAATACTTGTAAATGAAAAGGTTTAAAAATTGGCAGAAGCAGCTCTCTTAGCTTTTATCTCAAAAATACATTGGAAATAAAAACAAGAGCTTGGTAAGCACAGCTACTACCCATGTAGGAAAATCTAGTATGTTGATGATACATGTGTGCTTTTTTATTCCAAAACATGGAAAACTGTGCTGGAGTTTAGCAGTATCCACTTCAAAGCACACATTAACAGTAAAGACTGCTTATTTAATTGGGCAGGCACTTTAATGGCTAAGTAATTACCTGCATTTAATCTAATCAGTCACATTTTATCTGTTTTGAATTTCTACATATCACACCAGTTCTAACCTGAGAAAACTTTCTCACTCTGATTATCAAAGTAATACATGTCACATTACATAAAGTCCAGAAACATGCAAAATGAGTAAGAAAAGAATTATTCCAAACCCCGTATCCGGAGACAAACTTTGTTCATAATTTGATGTATTTTGACATAATACTTTTTGGAAATTGTCTTTTTTAAGCATTAAAGTGTACATATAGAGAATAACTTGATCAATAGATTGGTTCAGTCCCAAGTGTG